TATATTGTTAAAATTAAAGGATTATTTTTATTATGATTATTATATTATATAATTATATTAATGACGATTTATGGTTAGCCGCGGATCCAGACGTTCTTTTCATCGAGCTCCGGTGCGATATTGTCCGCTATTGTTCTAGATAGGTCGGAAAATACGTAGACAGAGGGAGCGTGCGCGCGCGCGTGTGTTCCCGGAGAATTAAAAAAATGTACGGAGAGAGATATAGAGAGATTACGCGTGAGTGTATATAAACATATGTGTATGCGTGTTGTTGAGGTGAGAAAAGAAATTCTAGTGAGAAAGAAAGTAAGATTTACGGAAATAGAGACGACGCTGTTTTTTTTACGAACGATATTACGCTATAGTTGGATAAATTATGTGTATAACTATTATGCCATACGGTGCTCCGAGTGCAATGCACGGGAAAAAAATGAAATCTCTCGACTACCTGTATATTTGTGTTGTAATCATCGTTGCCGTTTTAATCCGGCCGGTTCCCTACGACGATTATTAACAAAAATACAACGTTAACATTGAACAGCAACATCTTATTCTTCCCCCCCCCCCTTCTCCGCCTAATCCTCTTAGTTATACCTAGTACGTGAATCTGTATACCTGGGACACCATCGTAGACACCATTCGAAAAACAAACAGGTAACAAGCACCTTTTTCTCGACGCCCTCGTGTCAGTCTATCAGTGTCGTTCGTCGTATCCAGTCAACTGTGACTCTACTCTCTCCGTGAAAATTACAATCAACGCTTTGCTGTCTAGAGAATGTTTGTGTTCGGAAATATACAACTTCGGGTGTTCTAAAAATATTTATAAACATTTATTCGTCAAATTTTATATATACACAAAATCTATTTTTTTACTATTCTAGTTCTTATTTTAGAAAGACGTGAAACTACGCTCTCAGCTTTTGTTTTTCAAAAGACGTATATAACTACGTCATCGAAGTGTTAATTGTGCTCCCTCGTGACCATAGGCCTCAGAGAAACAATACGGTTCATCGAAGACCGTTCGGAAGGTACCCAAGACATTTGTTTTTACGACCGCCATCGATCCCTCACCCCCCAACAAAGATCGAGAGCCGGCAATTTTTTCCCCCGTCGCGTCAGACGCCGATTCATCGACGGCCGCGCGAACATCTTTATCGATCATCGACAATTACCACGAGCACAGACGATCGCCGATCGGTTACGTCGATAGAACGCAGGGTTGCTCGCGTCCTACGCGATCAGCCCATTGTTCCTTCGTTTTGTGATCGGTTTTAAAAGGCTACCACGAAGATTAATGGAGGACCGGTCCATTGCAAGAGTCGCCAGTCTCTCTTTCTCTCGATGCAACGGTCGCGTTTTCTATAATGCAACCTTTCACCGTAAACACGCGCCAACGTTGGCGCCTAAACGCTAGACGGGGGCACTGCTTCGAGCTTATCGACGATTTTTTTAATTTTTTTTTTTATTTTTCTTCTCTCTTCCACCGTCTCTGCCCCTCGATACGGATCGCGAGCAACCGTCAATTAGCATCGATCGCGCGTGCCGATTTTTCTTAGTCCTCGATCGACGTCCCCCTCCGTCCGCGAGTTCTCGATCCGTCAACGATCTGGAACCATTCTAGTGATCCGTGTTCTTGATTTTCTTGTTTCAGCGCGATCGAAGTAAATCGTTCTCTCTGGTCAGTGTATGGAGGAGCCTTTCTTAAGGGGGGCGTATTAGGGGTGATTATTAAAGAAAGAGGAATATATTATTCTACAAAAAGTTAATTATGGTAACGTGTTAAAATTGATAGGAAGTGTTTTGTATACGCAATAACTCCGTAATTTTTATT